CAATACATTCATCGTTCTGCTCAGAATCTAAAATTAAGGTTCACTTATCGAGAAACTATCATATCTCGCAATAGTTGGACCAAGCAAGAGACATTCACAACATTTCATTAAAATTGGTTAAGTGGCTTTGGATATTAGTGGGAACAAACATCTTGACACGAGATTTTTATATTTTCAGATGAAGATTTAGGTACAATATAGTAAATATGGTAAATAAAGGACTATAGTTTAATAGCCTTTAAAAACATATTTATTATTTGTTCTGGACATTTAAAAAATGTTTGTATGAATTGTATACCTAATTTATAAATATTTATAATAATTGTCTAGGTACAAATTTGAGTAATTGTAAAGTAATCACTAATCAGTGTGGTGAAAGGTACATTTGGTAAGGTATAATATGTATATTTTTTTAATAATATTTTCATATTTTGGTGTACACGTCATAGCATCAGCATACCGAATTTATGACTTATGAGGGATTATTATTTCTAATTAATTATCATTGTAATTATCATTTATCAGCTAACCCCCTCCCAAACCTCATCTCCACACCAAAAACCAACAAAAACTAAATTTTCTATATTTCTACTTGTACTGTTTTACTTATCGGTAAATATTTAATGTGTGCACTATGATTATTAATTAATACATAGCTTAGAAGCTTATAGATTAAAACATGGGAAATACCTATTATATTAAGATATTGCCATATCAGAGTAAAATCATGTTGTTGTAAATTATAGTCTTTAATGTACCTACCTATAATCATATCTAATCATTGTTTAGGCACAGACTATATGAATATAGTCTGTGGTTTAGGTATAGTTGTTAGATAGTATCGATTAATTCCTTATTTTTATGTGAGATCAGTTCTGTTTCTGTAAACACCGTGCTTTTTGATTGATCACACAAGTCATAAATAGTTTTTCGACATGGCTACATGTTAAAATATTAAATATTATGGCATTAAATATGATAATATTAGCATTTAGCAGTATTCTAGTATTCTTAATTTATAAAATATAATTAATATTCTCAATTTTAACCGAGGAAATAGGATAGGAATGTGCCGATAAATTATATACGTTGCTAAATTACTTACGATAGGCATTAATCATGTTTTTTTTGTCCACTTTTTACACGATGTATAGGCTCGCACTTGCACGAAATCCAAAATCCAAAATTGTTGTTCAACAAACTAGTATTAGTAACAGTATAAAACGATGAGGGTGATTATCTTACTGCTCGTCCTTCAAAAATAATAAAACACCAAATATCTAACATTAGAGCCGACTCTAACAATATGTAAATAGGTATACAATTTATTTATTAATTAGATGGAGTATTTCTCGAGAATGTAGGTATAATAGGTATACGAAGTTTACCAAAGCTTCCAAAATCACTTTCTAAAGTACACCAATACATAAACAATGCTATCCCGATAACAGTGAAGGATAAATATTTTATTTTTGTGAATGATCCATTAGATCATTGTTTTATTATAATGACGCTGTAGTACCTACATACCAGTTGTGTTCTGTTTACTCCCGTATAAAAATCAAAATTCATACACAGCCGTTTGGGAAATACGAAGACCATTTTGGAGACCATTCTGATTTTCAACATTCCACTTTCAAGAGTGTTTTTTGAAATAAAAAGTATTATTATATAAATTATATTTTAGCCTCAACTTGAAAGTTCTGCTCTGAGAGTCAGTTCTATTAACTGCAGTAAGTCTATAATAAACCCAATAAACCCAATAAATTAGCTAAAGCTTAAGCTAATAATTCAAAATGTTTGTTTTATTTATAAAAATGTATAGGTACCTATTATTATTTAAGTTAATACAAATTAAACAACTTACATTTTTACCGCTAAATCCTCGAAGTAATAATTCATTTAATAATTTAAATAATAACGCAAACTCTTGAAATATATAAAGATAATAATAATCGAAAATTATCCGTTATAAAAATAATGATTACGGGTTCAGCTAATTGCTAATATGTACACAAATTAATATTATAGTTATTTCGTTTCTTTAAAACACTATACACTGCAGTCTTTACTGACCACTGTTGTATACGTTTATTGTATTATATATACTTCAATAATTGTGTTTAAATAATAAAATATAGTATATACTATAACAAACTGTACTCATGGTTTATTCGAGAGTTATTAGCTGCGAAGATATATTGTTGAAAAATTTGGTGTTGATAAAGTTATATATCATAATAGAATAATACATTTATAAATACCCTATATTTAAACTTCATATATGTTAGTACTAAGTACGCTACAGTACTAATAATTATAGTACCTTATGGCTTATTGTTTCATTTTACAACATATTAAGTCAAAAATTATTTATTTGAAAATATTATTAACCTACATATTATTATAATAATATATTAAATGCAATTATAATATTTATTTATTTTTAATATAATTGCATTTAATAACATATTTACATAATATTAATCCTTTTATTTATTTTAAGTGCTTCAAACAATAAAAATTCTAATGGTTAAAACTATATTATTATAGTAATTACAAAGAAGAACAACTGTTTAGCTTCTGCGCAAATATTTTTCAACTGTGCATGGTCCATTTATAGATTACCGACTATATATTATAATACAGAGGGAAAAAAATGATTGTCATTGAACAGTCGTTCTGGACGGCACACGTTGTTCCCTTCGTCGATTCACGTTTACCATACATAATAATATAATACAAATCTCTCGATCTTTTTTCCCCATTATCCATAGACCACCATGTGGGGGGCCGTTCATAATTTGTATAATAACTTCTTTATTCTTGTGGACAAGCACAACTCCCAAATTAGACCGTATCGATGATATCCTCCCCGCTGTGCATTTTTTTCTTTCATCCCCGGCTATGTATTATATGTAGGTATACTAGACAGGTGGGTCTATTAAGTATTAAACAGTGTGGTTGATAATATATTAATATTGGCAGTGAAACATACACGAGCAGCATTGACCAAACAAGTATAATATTTAAACATTTTAGTATCAGGTATTATATTCCATTAATAATTGCACTTACCTACCTAATTATAAAAATATAATAATGAATAGGTACCTACTGATGAAAAATATTTATTATATAAATTTGAGTTTTTTAATTTTTAATTTTTGCCTTTTATAAGAAGTATTGAAGTATTAGGGTTAAGGGTTATGACAGAATACATGGTAGTAGATAATATAATATTATATTTGAATTAAATATGTAGAGGTAGGCAGTGGTGTATATAGTGGGTGGGCATAGTGGACTCAGCCCCCTCCCGGAATTAAGGGGTTTAGTAAGTTCCCACACGAAACATAGCAAGGAAGCGGGTACATATATAAGTTCACTCACGGAAAAAAATTACACCCGTACGTAAGTTCCCACACGAAAATTTATTCAGATTTAGGACTGACAACTTAAATGTAGTTGGTCCAAATATATAATAAAAATTAATAATATAATGTGTAGGTACCTGGTACACATATTGTTTGTACTTTCCCAAGCATTTGTAGACTTGTATCAGAACTAGCACTAGCCCTGGACTAGGGGGGAAACTATATCAATAACAAAATATCAGATTATAACTTAAAAATAATTACACAGTATGACTATGTGAAGGGTTTGAGCTTTCGCAGTAAGCCAAATAAAATTTAATTTTTTCTATTGCTATTATTATAATTTATGCAACACAAAAACAAACAAATTTTAACCACATCAACTACATTTAAGTTGTCTGTCCTAAGTCTGAATAAAGTGGGAAGGAAGTTTGTATTCGGTGTAGTTTTTTTTCGTGTGGTAACTTACGTATGCATACCCGGGTGCCATTTTTACCTGCTATATCTAGTATGGGAACTTACATTTGCTCGAAATTACAGTATTTTTAAATAGAACAACAATATATTTTATTAGGTACTTACTATTATAAGTTATAATATTTCATAGCCTGTTGAAAAATAACAAATACGAATATATATTTTATAGAAACAGTTAAATATATAGTAGACAGTAGCCTCTAAGTAATCATTTGCTAGTTTCTATCTACTATAGCTCACCCCAAAAATTATTTCTTTATTCGCCACTGGAGGTAGGCAGACCTATTTAGAAATAAAACATAAAAATTATACATTTATATTAATTTAAAGTTTAAAGTTATATATAGCTTAACTTAACAAAACTAGATATCAAATCATCAATTATATAAATATTGTATTTAAGTACCTAGGTAGGTTATAATTAATTGAAGTAATTTATGTCTAAAATTAAAGAAATTTAAAAATTAGTCCATGTGTTCTATACATAATACTGAAATAATTATAAAAATATTGTCTTATATTTTAATAAGTAATAATGAGATGAAAAGTATCTTTACATTTCGTTAATGTTGTAAATATTATTCACTACATTAAATTATATTTTATTTTTGAGTATTTCTATACGCAGTATAATAATAAAAGTCTTATTACTTCGAGGTATTCTGAACCGTAATTATATTTGTTGAAGTGCGACCGTTTTTGATAACGAGAGTAAAATCTTGTGTGGAGGGGGTTAAGGGGTTGTGAAAAAAACAACATGGGAGGGACCCGACCGCCGGTTTCTAATTCAGTGTTCTTTCAGACGGTAACGCCTCTTCACGGACCATTGTGAATGCAATGCAGTACGACGGTGTGGTGTGTCTTTTTAGTTCGTTTTATTCGTTCTTCTAAATTTTATCCATAAATATAACATTTTTATTTATATAATTATCAATATATATATAATATACATATGCGCATAAATTTATAAATATATATATATATATATATTTTACAAATATTTAAGTTACAGTATACAACGTATAGTGATTTTCGTGATTTTTCAATTATGAATGAATGGAAAGCTCACCGTGCAATATTATAGTGATTCAACATTGTGCGATAGTCAATATGTTCGATTAAAAATTGTGGCCGAGACACGATTCAGGCATGAATATTAATTTTGCTGTGTTTATTTGTGTCTTATTCATTGTTAACGGCGTTACGCGAGCGTATGCCGGACATGCTTCAAGTATAAAATCGTAAGTTAATATAAAATATTTATGCTATTAATTATTATTAAGTTACGTTGACGTACACTTCATATTATATTATTCAAATTAATATCTTAACTAATAACTGAAAATTAATATAATAAAAAAAAAAAATCAATGGTCATCAATATTACTCGTTAGAAGAAAACCATAGGGACACATTAATTATCATTTCCAACCTCTTAAAATATTTACCTCACCCGGCTTACCCTACGGGCATATATCCCCTTTTAATAAAAAAAATATTTTTCTTGATGTTGCAGCATATTTGTTTGAATGTTTTAACATCTACTAATGTAAATCTAAAGATTTATATTTTATGACTATTTAATTAATGATTAATTTTATTTATATTGAACAAGAAATGAAATAGGTAATAAAATAATATAGGTAATAGTATTATAGTCAGGTAATCAATATTGGCGTATGTTAGAAATAATAATATGGTTCTTTGCTTATCAGCTGGAACATACGAGTAAGCTAAATATATATAACGGTGTACCCAAAGTTTAGTATGCAGTAACTTAAAATATTAAGATAAAAATTGATGTAATTAATCAATTTTTATCTTAATATTTTATTATTTTGAATTACATTTCTATTTTCTATATAATAATTAATGACTAATCGTAAACACTAATAATATATTTTATCCTAAAACTAAATTTTAAATGAGTTGCAAAAATTGTATAATTAAACTTTATCAAACTTAATCACTGTGTAATGAATGTTTTTTAACGTCAAAATTAGCCGTCTAATATAAACTACTTTTGAAGTTTACAAATAATTGTGTAGTAGGTATCTAGGATTAATCCTATAAATATAAATATTCGAAATAAAATACTTTACTTTTAATTTAAATAAAATATGAGTGTAATATATACTAAGCAATAATAGTTTTATATTTAAACCAACCATTTAAATACTGACATGACTTAAAAAATCTTACTTATTGATATTTATTAACTAAAAAAAATATTAAAAACATTAATGATTATATTTTAATATTTACTTGTTAGAGTATGTAGGTATACCTATAATAACTAAAAATTGTACAACAAAACAATTTCCATTGTATTTGTATTGTACTTAACAGTCAGAAAACAAATTAGTTATTCGTATAGATTTAAATAATTTATTTTAATTCCTGTTATTAAAGAAGATTGTATTATTTTATTTTAGATACTAATAAAAATGACAATTATTTTTTAAATATAAAAAGATAATAGTACTTTTATAATTTGTTTCAAATGATGGTATCTCATAATAGTTGATTAGTTTTAAATTAATTTCCCATTCTTTCAAATTCTAAACTATAAAGTTAAATGAATTAGTAAATTACCTAGCTGTCTTAATTTTGTATACTATATAATTTTATATATGCTTCATTATCAATTATTTTTGGATTTATTATTACATTTTAATTTATTTTTAATTTTATAATACATTGTCAATGAAAAATACTCCTTATAATAAAGAAACCCCCAAAAAATACGATCTTATGATTTATGTACATAACATTAGAATACAAATTTTATTCCAGTAAAATTGTTATTCCTTATTATTTTCGAAATTGCTGTTAAATATAATATAATATACCTGAACTCAATAAACATTTTACCTATCAAGTTCTGATTTTTGAGGTTTGAGGCCCTTAGAGCAAGGGATCAAAACGCCATCAATCAACTTAATAGGGGAACACAAATGGATATTAAACGATTAAAATCATGCGTGTAATTATACCAGAAGACCTGTAATTATGAGTAGGAATGTGTGTATATACAATAGTCACAGGGACCGCCATGCCATATTTTGGAAGGATATATTATATTGTAAAAATACATTTAGGAATATCTCATTGTAAGGGGGTACACACCTTCTAATTTACGGCAAATTATAACTATTATTATTTTTTTTTTTTATAAGTGTGTTAATTTCCTTTCGTCTAGACCCACAAAACTACAAAAGAAAATAACATGACTGAAAACCATATAGATATATTATAGAGGTACCTTAGTACCTCTATATAATCGTCGGCATGCACAATGGGAAAAAATAGGGTACACTTTGTTAAACATATTATACGTTGTATATAGTATATACATACAATAATACGCACACATACCTATATAAATAACTATGGTTAAATATTATAATATATTTTATTGTTGTCATACTGGCTTCCAAAAAGGAAGGGGGAAGTGTAAAAAAACATAATATCTGTCCGGTCGATCTGCATTGTTGAGTTCTTTTATGCACTCCATTCATGGTTTTTGGCACAAACCCCTTTTCCGCTAAGAAGTTATATTATTGAATTACCGTAAACCGATATGTCTAATCTTCTTCTTCTTCGGCTGTATGCTCAGCTCCCACCACACCAGTTTCGGAATTATTTCTACCTTTTTATTCGTTCTCAGCAATCATTTGAACCGGATTTCTATCGTTGCAAAACGATCATTTAGAAACCCGATCTGTATATTATTGAGCATGAAAAAAACGGCATTAAGGCCGCAGACACAATTAACTCTATTCAACTGTCTACGAAGCTTCTGTGTTTACCCGCGCGTCCGCTCTTTTCTGAATGCAAGCTTTTAAGCCCGCGAATGTAGATGATACATATTTGATTTGCATTCGGAATACAATGAAGTACAATTCTATAGTGCTCTTTAATTAGTATTTTAATTGACCGCCAATAATATATATATATATGTACTATATACGTCATGTACATTGCATACACACATAATATATGTGTGTGTGTGCATTTGAAATATGTTTCAAAATATATAGGTACCCGTAGGCTTTATAAAAGACCACACACACATATAGTTGCTATTCAAAATACGTATAATAACGATTCAAATGAAATGCATAAACAAATGTATACAATATATATTAGATACATATATATATATAAATAACACTATAAATTAACCAAAATTATAATTTTTAATTATTTTGACTAAATAACTTAGGTATGAAAATCATATTTGTGTAATTTTCTTACTGTTTTGAAAAATTGTTATAATTTGAAATTCAAGCATAATATACTGGATAAGAAACATTTTAGCATTAAGGGGTTTTATAAAATTCTACCACTGTAGACCGACCGCATATTATTGACAATAAATTTCTAAAGTAATTTCATTTTTGGGTTCATAATATGTTATATTGATTATAAAATTATAACATGAGAGTTACATAAAAAGTGATAAATGTTATTAATTATTGCTAGGCATGTACCTTATAACTTTTGTTATAATCAATATTTTTTTTTTTAATATGTATAGTAAACAAACATAATTCATTATTAAAAAATAACCAAATTTATTAGGTATACATAGTTAGTTAATTACATTTGTAAGTTCTGTCTGTTATATTCTGTATAGGTAGTGATAATTTAAATGCAAATCATTTTTATAGTGTATATAAAGTAGATATAGGTATACTATATATTTACATGGACAACTTCAGAAACACAGGTAATAACTAAATAACCAATAGGTGTCAATTGCACCACTTAATTATTTAAAAGGTTCCTATTTATATTTTAGGGTGCAGTACTTACCTAAAATAGGTACCTATTTAATGTATAATATATTTAACATGGTTAAAAAATGTTAATTTCTAAGGTTAAACAAATAAAGGCGTGAACATCATTTGTTGTGGGAAAGAAAGCAAATGAAAATTTAATGAACTCTGAGAAAATATTTTTATTTTTTTTTATAAAGTAAACAAGAAGTGACAGTTTTTATTTATTTTATGGAAATAATATGTATACTCAAGGGCAATTGACAATCGTAGAAACTTGATGATCGCGAGTATCTGTAATATATTATTTATATTTCATCCAAATAACTACAGCTGCATTGATTCAGATAGGTATTTATTTTAACGTTTTTATTATTTTTTATTATGAAGTTAAGTATAATAATACAATTTTAAATTATATTTCGGCAACAATTAACAAAAATATTTTTAATATGCGACAATAATGGACTGCAATGTTTAATTGTTGTCATTTATAAGCATAATGTGTAGGAAAAACTATACGACGTCTATATACCTAAACAAGTTAATAAAATAAATAATTCAACGTGTAGATCGTAGATATATTAAGTTATTAATCTATATCTAGGAAAGGCATTTAAAAAAATATACATATCAAGTTGTAAAGTTATTTAGTAACTTTGTTAAAATAACTGTCTTGACTATGGAATATTTGTTTCAGTGTAGGAATATAAGATTATGTGGGTAATTAGGTTCGAAAATTGTGCTCCTTACAAAAAAAAAACCACTGATTGATTTGTTTTACGAGATTATTCGTAGATCTGAATTATGTTTTTAAAAGTTATACCCTCTATATTTATATTAGTACAAAATCATAAGTATTTGTCTAAGTACCTACTTACTGTTAAAGTTTATAGGTATAATATGTACAGCTGATCTATTACATGCCAGATTATGGCAACCTGATTATTTAGATACCTAATTGAACTTATAAAATATAATACCTAACCGCCATATTATAGGACCTTTTAAAAATTATTTATTCAAATTCATTTAAATTCGATAGCATATTTATGCGTTTTATGCTAATGATAATATGTAAAGCGTACAATAAAAACACGTTTGGAAGTATTGTAAAATAATAATAATTGTATTATTATTTTTTTAGATTTCATAATATTAAAAATACCTATGATTAGAACATAGATAATATTATGTAGGCTCAATAAATTACCACAAGGATAACCGGGATTAATCTAACATAGGTGGGGGGAATATGGTACCAGGGGGCGCTTTAAGTCATGGGAAATTTTAATCGAAAAAAAAAATAGATTTATTTTATATACCTATTAAGCATTTAAGCATAATATAATATACTATTATCGGAAATGTGATACTATCGTATACCAATATAATATATTAATATTATGTTATTACGAACTTTGTAGAGTAAAAATCGTTTTAGTATGTATAATACG